AGTATGAGTATCTTACACGAAGAAAAAGTTGTTAATCGAATTATCCACGGAAACCTCATACTTCTTCAGGATCGTGTAACCGACACTGGGAATAAGTACTTAGAAACGGATGAAAATCGATGGAGGCATTTTAGAAAATATTCTAGATAGAAGAACAGAAAGGCAGATAATCGAAAACATACCTAAGTACTTACACTAGAAATTTGTTTCGTTTATAGTTAATTAATGTAGAGACCTTTTTTCAAAATCGTATACATTTTATTTATATTCAAGTACAGGTCATCATCATCATACGGTCGTCAGTCCTTGGACTTGACTCTTCCCCACGGAGAAAACTAAACGTAAAAATTATAATTTTCAATTGTAAATGACTGCATTTACCGTAGAAATAGTAGAATTTATAGGGCACATGAAACAATTTCAATTTTGACATTCTTTTTTAAAAATTATTTTAAATTTCTTAATTATTACAATTTAATCTGCAATATCAACTAAAATACCTCCAAATTGTAATTTTTATTATTTTTGCTTACGAAGCAACGGGCTAGTGCGATAAATTGCAAATATCGCTTTAATATTTATGTAATTTTTCTCAATGCCTATTATGAGTTACAATCTAGTACCTCTCCTCCTCTTAGCTCCTGTTTCTGCTTCTAATATATCTCTAACTAGCCCTTCACGCCTGAGAAGGCGTCCTACCAACCTCTATCTCGCCTATTTCATACTGACTTCCATATAAGCGTCCTTTCTGTTCTCTTATTCTTTTTAATATCTCCTCATTTCTAACCTTCTCTATCGAGGGTATCCTCATCATTCAACCCATAACACCATATCACGAACGTTTTCAAACTTTCCTTTTCTCTCATACCGTCCACATTTTGCATCCGCGCTGACTTCGTAGGTAACCGAAAACCAACGACTTCTATTAGTTTTTCGTCTTCTATCTTTATATTCAGTATTTCTCCTACTCTTTTTGCCATTCCATGCCAGTATTCTTGTTTTACTTTTATTTATTCTCATACAATACTATTTTGTCAATGTATGTACATATGTATGTAAAAAATTGTCAACATTAATATACTTTAGTACCTAAGTATATCATATTTGAGATTAAATATCGATTAAGAGCAAATAGGTGGAAGAGGGTGGCATTTCTATATTTAAAGGGGATTTTTTCAGGCAAATGCGCGCGTTTCGTGCTACAGTATAATTTACCGTCGGACAGATGAACTCGCATTCATATTCCTCAAATATGCAGATGGATGGATTATCATAAAATTTTAATATCGCTTTATTCTTTCGGCTGAACAGCACCTTTAGAAACTAACAGTTATATTTATTTAACATACCTCGCTTAAACCGCCGTAATGGTCACATTAAATCATTTTTTATGGTAGTGTAAACGTTAAATTGAACCATTTATATTAAGTCTTCCTATTTTTATTAATGTGAACATGTTCTTACCCTCTATCAGTCACTGTAAGGTCGAAACTGTTCGCAACATTGCTTGGAGTGGTCGAAATTCACTTTTGTGTTAAAAATCTTTTAAATAATTAAATTTAAAGGAATTGTTTGTATAGGTATGCAACACATCGTACACTTAAGCATAAGAAATTGCTGTTACTAACTTTCATTTACGTAATACTACTTTTCCCTGTGCTGACAACACTCATAATTTTCTTTATATACAGGGTGCTTCAAAAAAATGTATACACACTTTGAACTTCCATAGAAAATTTATTTACCGTTCTACAAAGTTAAATTTCAGGAAAATAGAAAGCTGAAAGTCCAATGTAAATGAAACATAAATAACAAATGTTAATACTGTTCAAATTGGTGACCTACAGCATCAATACAATTCTGAGTACGAGTCACCACAGATTCTGTACATCGTATCAAAACGTCCAATGAGATTTCTCTACACACTGCTTGAATCTCATTCCAAAGAATGTCTAGGTTACGTGGTTTACGTTTGTACACCTCATCTTTTACTGTGCCCCACAAGAAGAAATCCAGTGGTGTAAGGTCTGGAGAGCGTGCTGGAAACTCGATTGGCCCCCTGCGTCCTATCCACTGGCCCGACAAATTTTGATCCAGGTAAGCTCGTACGTCCCTGTGATAGTGCGGCGGAGCACCATCTTGTTGAAAATAAAAATCATCATTACCGTATAATGCACGAATGGCAGGAAATATGGAATCAGCAAGCATTGTTAGGTAATTAATACCAGTTACAGTGCCTTCAAATCGAAAAGGTCCAATGAGTCCCCTTGAAGACAAACCGCACCACACATTTACACCAGGCAAATTTACAGCTTTTTCAATTGTAATGTGAGGATTTTCTTCACCCCAGTAAACACAATTGTGCCTATTGACAGTTCCATTAAGTTTGAATTGGGCTTCATCCGACCAAATGATGCTACCCATAAATCCCGGTTCACGTATCACGTTTTGATACGATGTACAGAATCTGTGGTGACTCGTACTCAGAATTGTATTGATGCTGTAGGTCACCAATTTGAACAGTATTAACATTTGTTATTTATGTTTCATTTACATTGGACTTTCAGCTTTCTATTTTCCTGAAATTTAACTTTGTAGAACGGTAAAAAAAAATTTCTATGGAAGTTCAAAGTGTGTATACATTTTTTTGAAGCACCCTGTATAATATTCAAAAAAAACTCATAGTGTGGTAGATCTCTAGCATCGTGGCGATCTCTTGGTGTATAATCGTTAAAGTTTTAGGTGAGCTAAGAGTATTTGGCTAACTTTCAAAAGTTTTATAAGTGGTTCGAAACAATCTTCTTCTTCACAAAATATTGCGCATAATAAAAAGAAAAGAGAAAAAAATTGAAATTGGCTCGTGTTTATACAGTCGCGGCCGTCATCGTTATAACTGGGCCATGAATTTTTTTTGCTTACGGTCCTGGCATAATATTTGCTGAGAGAGTTTCTTATTTCTTTGTTACGAAGTTTAATAACACAAACAGAAGTGATGACTAGATATAGGGGACCGACCGTGCGGCTGATACAAGTCGGTGTGGCGCAGCACTTCGCTGTTGGCGAGCGCCTTCGTCAGCGTCACACAGGCAAATCGATTTTCAATTTGGTTACATTAATATTTCGCCTACGGTTACCTAACTGAAGTGTGTACATTAAGGGAAGTCGTACTCATTATTATTGATCAGGGCTTTGCACCCTCATGTGTTAGCGTGTTTCAGACGGATCTGTTGAGTTGGGAATAGCCTCCTCAAATCTATAGGTAGATAGTTGGCCATGAAATTATTGTTGCAGTTCATTTGAAGTGAAATATGTAAAATATAGATCGAACCCCTACAATAAATGATAAATGTAAAATACACCTGCAGTAGAAATACGTTTTACATATGAAGTATTTATAGTTAATTGTATCGAACCAATTTGGGATTTTTGATTAAAAGGGAGATTTTTTTTGATTTTTTTGTAGTCGAAAAAATAAAAAAAAATATCACTTTAACGACTTTAATTTCAACAAAAAATACTAACGTTTCATTTGGCCAAAAATACAGAATTGGTTTGATGTAATTAATATATACATTGAGTTTTCCTAAAAACTTAGATTTTCATTTTTATTTTGTTGTTGCTTTCTACTACCGCAGTAGCAGCATTTAGCTAGGAGTTAGAGATAGCTGTTAATAAAATGGAAGCGGTATTGACAATACACTACTGTATGAAAATAAATAGAAGTCAAACAAAAATACTGGTATGCAAGGGAAGAAAAAGTAGGGAAAGAGTGAATATAAAGATAGGAGACGAAAAATTAGAAGTGGCTGATTTTAGGTAAATAGGAAGTCAGAAAAGTCAGGACGGAAGGAGTAGTAGGGATATAAAGTAGAGGATAGCGCAAGGTCGAGTCGTCTTCAATAAAAAGAAGTCACTTCTATGCTCGCGAACGGTTATATTAGAAATTCGAAAATGATTGTTAAAGGTGTATGTTTGGACTGCGGCGCTGTACGAGTGCGAAACATGAGCGGCGGGCGAGGTGGAAAAGAAAAGGTTTGAAGCGTTCGAAACGTGCGGTGTTACTGGCGAATTCTGAGAATATCGTGGAAAGAGAAGGTTAGAAATAAAGAGATATTAGAAAGAATAGGAGAACAGAGAATTGTAGGGAAGTCGATAAGAAATAGGGGAGATAGATTGGTAAGACACCTTCTCAGGCATGAAGGTCTAGTCAGACACATATTAGAGGTAGAAACGGGTGTTAGGAGGTGTAGAGGTAGACCTAGTTTAGATTACTGTTCGCAAATAGTTAAGTATGTGGGATGTTCTAGTTTTAGAGAAAAAGTGGACGTGCTTGTCCAAGCAGTCTTAGGACTGACGGCCTTATGATGATGCTGTTTTGTACAGGTTAATTTGGAGAAAAAATCGAATAATTTAGTTTATTAGGTAATAAAATTACAACAAAATAATACCGCATACGTTCATTATGTTATGCATAGCTACCATATATAAAATCAAGAAACTGCAGGATAATAGCCTAAATTTTTCTTCTTTGTTAGTCCTCCACAGTTATTTAAGGTAATTCAATTGTTTTCCGAACTTTTAAGCAAGCACAAAACCTCGGACGATATATAAAACCCCGACCGCTCGCTCCAATGAAACTCATCAGTCAATCATGTTATATTATTATTATACCGTATGGGAATGAGACGACTACTTTACTATAGTAAATCTCAAAATATACACTATGCGAATTTCCGCTTTGTAAAAATGTGTATTTGTACGACTAACTTCCTATCTTATCTAGAGGCATATATTATTTTAACTCAACAGCAAGATCAGTACTTTCGCATACGGTATAAGCAGTTGATATGTCGGAAGCACTACTGCTTTTGTTAATATATTTGTTATACAATTATAGTAGCATAAGTACCTATATACCTATTTAGTAACGATTTACCCAATAGCGGCTTTATTTGCACTTTCAATATCTTAGTTTTAGAAAAAATAACGGATTTACTTACTTAATGTAGTCAAAATATAGTGGCCACGCATGCGACGAAAGCCTGTAAAAAAAAGTAAATTATATTTCTCAAGGTGAATCGATAAATTGAAAAGGTAGATCTAATTAATTTTAGAAAAAACGAAAACGGAAATCGATTAATGGGAAGTACATATTTATACATATGTTATCGGAAATGTATGAAATCTAGGAATATAATAATATAATACAATTCATACATTTCCGGCAACATATATACACTTTATAATTGACACAAATAAATTACCATGTTGTAATTATTATTATTAATCAATAACATTCCAAAATAGATATCTAATAGATTAATAAAATTATTGAGGTAATAGTTGAACCTGTCCCAATTTATGTTTTAATTGTGGCAATCCCCCATTCTACAACCTAACTTATACTGCCCTTGGATACTATAAAAGTCAAACTTTCAACTACGTAAAAATGTGCGATTTTTATTAAACGATAGCAAATTTATGTATAATTTACTGTATTGTACCAGTACCTAAAATGCACGAAGAGTCGCAAAACTAGTGAAATAGCTCTCCTTGAGTTTACTATTAATAATGCATGGCCGACATCGCCTTCCGAAATTGACCCAAATGTAATCTAACCTAAAAAGGATTCGTTTGACAAAAATAACTTTACTGTAATAGCATAATAATAAGGCAGAAAAATAGCAATGTACGTCAAGTAATCATGTTGGAAATCTTAATTCTAATGGTTTGTATCCGATGTCACCCTTCAGTTATGTTTAATAGCATGGTGAGGATAAATTGTTTTCGTTACGCTGACATTTAAGTCTAATCTAAAATTAGAATCAATAAGTTTTCGTATCCCAGGAAAGCAGACGTTAACATAAACATTTACCCAATTAACTTTGTATATAGACATATCAGCAACGTTTGGTGTCTCTGTTGCCTGATTTATCGACTACAAAATTAACTTTTAGAATCAATGAATCGTATAAAGTAGAAAAGACAAAAACCTTTTCTATTCACAATTGATACACTTGAAATATAGTTTTTAAACAAAATTTACGAACTTGAAATTCCTGATGAATAACCAACTCGAATAGGTACATTTCAATTTCTCCTAGTAGTCATAACCTAATCATTAATGATGCCTCTCCATATTTACTCATTAAATTAATTCCCTTCTTATAACATTGTATCGTTTTCTCTTTCGGAAACAGTACTCCACTAATAGATAGAAAACAATTTTATTTAATATTAATGTGCAAATTCATTTAACTTTTATCCACTACAAATTACCTCAAATTAATGAGGAAAAATTGTAGCTGTTAATAAATATTGTAGCGAGCACGAGTGTGTATGTGTGCGATCGGGCACACCTGTGCGAACGGCTTATCGATTCGCCAACTAGCCGCGGGCGCCTTTCCTCATGTGCGCCGTATTTGTAAATGTGTACCTGCATTCTGGGAAAGTAGTTAAACAGTTCAATGAAAAAAGAAACTGTCCGGATGTTTCCAGAAGGTTCCCGAAAGTAAATAAAAAAAGTATTTAAAGGAAGAGACGATCGCCAAGAGAAGCAGAAATAAATTGAAGTGAATCCAGAAATAAATTGACAGTGATAGAAGTGAAATTAAATAGCGCAGTGAATAGTGATATATCAACAGTATTGTAAATAAATAGAATAATTCATAACCTAAGTTTAGTAATAATTTAATAGTGTTTTTAAGTTCTTTAATAATTAGTATAAATAAAAAGTTATTGTCGTTATCAGTCTTAAAAGTTAATTTTGTTAAACCCACGAACATTACAGTATGCTTCGTCGTTGTTGCTGCTGTTACCAGTTGTAACTTATTGATCAGATCATTGATGCGTCAAGCCAAAGCTCTCGGGTTCGATTCCCGGCAAGGGTATGATAGTAGTAACAATTTTAGGTTATTGAACTTTCTGGTTTTCCATAAGAAGAGCATGGAAAAGAATACGTATGTACATATATCATCTAATCTTGAGGTACAAGTGGTTTTTATTTTCTGCATCTGTCTGAGCAGAAACCAGCCGAATGTACAATTTATTTTTAAGGACTATAAAATCCTTGCAGTCGAATTTGCTACTATAATTAACAATTACACATTAAATCGGACGAATTTACAACAGCCGAATTATGAATCGATCCCGTTTAATGAATTATTAATTTTCAATAAATCAATTCAAGTCGTTATTTATCGAAAGTATAACTCTCTATGACAGCCCTCAGGGTAAATAAGTAACTTAATCCACCCTAGAATGCATTGCAGAATTACATTAATATCATTTTCATTCTATAGTTCGAGCAGAGGGTTGATATCCTATAGCCTAGTAAATAGAAGTAGAACTGTTGCGAAAAAATTTAAACTTTAAGGTGTTTCATTCTCACCAGACCCTAATGCTGTTGAGCGGGCAGTCGCTCTGGACTACGCTGGAAGGTAGGGCGAAAGGCCCTCTTCAGGCTCCTTTCAGGAATCGTGAGAATAGATGGGTGGTGGTTTGGGTGAGAAAGACGAGACGGACGAAATGAAGACAGAAGAGAATGAAAGATTATCTGTGAAATATACTACTGCATTTGCCTATGTGATCCAAGGAAACACAGAAAAACTTGGAGCAAGGCAGACGGACCCGGAATTGAACCGGCGTCCTCCCGAATGCTAAGCAATGATCTAGACCTTTAGGTCATTCCACTAGGTACTGTTGCGACTTTGCGACAACTATTTATAAGGGTTGGGCTTGTTCCGACGTATGATAGGTTGCATACACGTAACAGTGTAATAATTATTTTACTGATTAAATTTAATGGTAGACATGCACGTCAAAAAGAATTAGTATGGAACTCTGGAAGCTCATAAAAGTATACAGAACCATGACCCAAAACAACTTATTTCCACATAAAATTAGTGATTATTATGGGACTAATAATAGTGATGTTAGCTTAGAATTCGAAAGAATTAAAAGTGTTTATTAAATAAAATGAAATACAAAATGAACATATCATAAGTTCGTACAAATTCGATCCTCTACAACCGCTGTCTTCGAGAACTGATTCAACTCTCCCCCGCAAGACTGACCGTAATGTTTTTGAGACCCTCGGTCAAGTATACCCTCTCTGTCTCTCTTTACCCCAACGTTGCACGTGTCAATTTTTGTCACTTTCTCACGGTACCTTCAGTCAGCTAATAAAACCGTACGGTTGGAGAGGACGCAGTAGTTTTCTTAAAGTTTATTGCTTAAAAATATTTTGCTTCTTATTCTAAACATACGGATAACAATTACTCAATCCCTTAAAATTACAAACTATTCCTAAATTACTTTAAGCCTACCATAAACTAAAAAGCACGCATTCCCGATACTACATTATTAATAAATAATTGATAATCAAAGAACCTCCCGCATAATCCTTGACCCAGTCAAATTGGCTATAATTGGAATATAATGTTCTTTGCGATTAAGACTTTGTTTCGTGGAAATGCTACTTCTAACGTTGACAAGAGCTCACTTTCTCTAATAAACTTTTCAGTTTTTTTAAGCGTATGTTAACTAAAAAAAAACTATGACAAACTTAAAAAACAATTAACACTTAGAAAAAGAAAAATTAATTTTAACGAGATATAACTTAGCTAGAATAGATTAAACTTAAGGAGACTTAACGAGAGTTTTTCGAACACTTGTTTTTGTACCCAACAACTCAATTTATAGAGTTCAACTAAGTTGCGGTAGGGGTGGTACCGCCACCCTCATCTCTTTCTCCGAAAACACATTGATGATAATAATAATAATGTTCTAGTAGCTTGCGCGAACAGACTTTATGATCAAAAGGGTACAAGGTCAAAAAAGTTTCTGAGCTACAGATCAAAAACCACGTATGTAAGTATCTAATTAGAATTGTGTTTGCCAATAATAACATTCCCTTCTCATTTTCAATCTCATCTCTGAAAAAAAAAGGAGAAATTCATTTAATCGCTTCAATAAACACATCTAATGATTGCAAAGTCGTAATTCGGTGCTTACTCTATTTGACTACTGAAATGCAGTAATTGACAAAAGCTGAGGCAGTCGAATCAGTATTTTAATGAATAGCTCTAGTATTCGCGATAGAACTCGACAGGAAGTTTGCACTTAATTTGACTGATAATTTACACCAGGGTAGATCAGTAACAACTCCGCACTACTTATCCGAGCACCCAGTTGGCGAACAGTTTCAACTAAACCGTTCAATCAAAGATGTTAGTCTGCTTTCCAATCAGGTAATTAATGATTTTGTTTCTAGATAGTACAAAAAATACAATGCGTATATTGAATTATATAATGTATAGGCTCTCAACGATGAAAACATCGATATTTTTTTAATGCAAATAATGTATTTAAATACAATTTTACGCATTTGCAAACCACACCTTTCTTTCATTTTGCTTCGTTTTTGAACTTTTTCATTATTTTCGTCCAAAATTCTAATTCTTCTGTGAAAAATTTGAACGATATTTAAGCTCGGCTGACAAAAAAGACTGAAGCCCGATCGAAACCTGAACAATAATATGAATATGAAATTTATATCGGGCTGAGAGTGAACCGAGAGCCTGTCGAGAGCGGTCCACAGTGAGGATCGACCCCTATTGAGCTCGCTAGTTTCGTGTTGGTGTCCTGTCATAGCTATATTATTTCTAAAACTTTTTGGCTGTTCTATTCTTATCAGGTAGAACTGTTAAAAAATTGATGTTTCTTTTTAACCAACTTCAAAACAGGAGGAGGTTTTCAATTTGACGGTATGTTTTTTTTTGTATGTTTGTTACGTGATTACTCCGCTAATTAAGAATTGATTTTGATGATTCTTTTTTTGTTTCGTAGGTCATACTTCAATTTTTATCGAAATTGACTCAGTGTTTTTTGAAAAAATAAAAAAAAAATAAAAAATACATATACATTAAAAATTGAAAAATAAAGTTAATTTTTAGAAAAAAAAACAAAAACCTACTTCAAGACTATATCTACATGTACAAGTAAAACTAAAAAGTAGTAAATGATATTTTAATTACTTCAA